CCATTAGCTGAAACACCTATATTAATATTAACATTTTCAGAATCCTAGAAAAATTCTTTAATTATAATTCTTATAGAATAAAAAAGCATAGAATATATACTTGTGCAGGATGAATATCTACACCATACATAGCTAATTTTTTAGCATTTTCAAGAAAATGTAAATCAGCTGCATTAGGTGGTTGACCTCTAGATAAATATAAAATTGAGGAAAATAATATAAAAATATATAATTTCATACTTATGTCTTTTATGTTGTTCATGAATACGTTTTAATAATTCTTCATCTTGTTGAGGTGCAAATTGAAGTTCTTTAAGATAATCATATGTTGTTCCATGATCTAATTCACTATAATCTCCTAATTCAGCTTGAGCTGTATATGAACCCAATAAAGCATAAGTTACAAATGAACAAGGTAATCTTTATAAAAGAATATAAATAAAAAATTTTGTCAAAAAAAATAAATATTCAATTAACTTACTTTCCAGAAAGAATATCTTGCCGTAATTGAAGACATAATTGATATCTATAATAATTATAAATCTCAATTAAAATATGACTTTTTCAAATTTTGATCTGTTTAAGCTCGGATATCGTTCTCTGTGAAAGGTTTACTTACGCATTAGTCTCATTTATATTAAAGATAAGAAGATCTGCCTTTTTTTTTTTACCAATGATACTACCAACGAAAAAATGCTGGCGGATACTTCCATGGATAGTTAACCACAAAAAACACAAGATTGATTTTTTTTTTTGTCTTTAGAACTCGTTGCACTGATCATTTTAGTATAAAAAGTATTCAAATTTACTCATGACGAAAATACTTAAAAACTATTACCGACTGCTGCTAATGAACAAAACATTCCCAAGTATCTCGCTTCGATTTCGTTGGTTTATATATTATTCGATAGAGGTTCTCGAGTAGGTAAAAAGCGGAAAAGGGTTTCGGCATATGATATCTTCGAAGAGTTTCTGCGGAAACTCAATTAAACACCGACAGAGGATATATTGATTAACTAGTGCAGATAATCTTTATATAGTGCTTGACTTTGAATAATGATCCATTCAACTTATCGACTCTTGCTCGAAAAAATCAATCATAAAAAATAAATAACTGTTTACTATGCCTTTTACATCTCTATATCTCCTCCGTCGGTGTTTAATTGAGTTTCTGCAGAAACTCTCCGAAGATATCTAATTGATTCCGACTGACGGCTTTTTCTTCTGGAATTACGATCATTTGTCTGATTTTTTCAGCGAAAACTAGAAAATTCATAACTCACGAGGGAACCTTCCGAGGTGCTAAAAAGCTTTTGAGCCAAAATTTTGTCCATAATTAGGGGATATA